TCATTTTTGAGAAAGACAGAGAGCGGAAGGGGCAGAGAGAAAGGGAGACACAGACCCCAAAGCAGGTTCCAGGCTCTGAGCTGTCAGCACAGAGCCTAACACAGAGCTCAAACCCTTGAACCGCTAGATCATGATCTGAGCTAAAGTCTGACACTCAACCGACTGGGCCACCCAGGCGCCCTTAACTTCCTAATTCTTAAAATTATTGTAGAGCAATAGCTGCCTAGCAAAGATCCTTAGATTGTCTGCCCTAAGTTGTTTTTTTTTTTTTTTTAAAGAGAGAGAGAGCGTGTGGGCAAGACAGAAAGTGGGCGAGAGGTAGAGGAAGGGGGAGGGAGAGAAGAGAGAGAGAGAAAATCTGAAGAAGGCTTTATGCTTAGAATGGAGCATGGAGCTTGGTGTCCGATGTGGGGCTCAATCCCATGACCCTGGGATCCTGACCTGAGCCGAAATCAAGAATTGGTTGCTCTACCGACTGAGCCACCCAGGTACCCCAAAATTATTCTTGATGATAGGATAAGCCCTTAGTTACCTTTTAGCTGAGCAGGGACACCTGTATTGGTAGCCAATACCACCTGCTGGACCTGAATTAACACTTCTGGAGAAACTGAAACTCAATTACATAAGATCACAAAACAAGCCACTTGGCTTAAAAAGATGACTCCTTCCTTGGAGTCTTTGACTTATTTGATTTTGATTGCTTCTGGGTGTTGGGGACCATGGCTTTAATGTGCCCTCCAAACATGGGAATTATCCTGCTCATAATAATCACAATAATCTCCCTAGTGTGTTGTATTTTCTGAAAAGCTTTAAATGCATGTTCACAGCCACTAACCACCATGCAAATGATCTCCCTAAGAACAGAATGGCAGGAAAGGAACAAAGCAATGGCTGACTTAACGGAATGGAAACCTAAAGTCACAACCTGTAAATATCACAGAAATAAAACAAAACAACATGACCCGTGGGTACCACACAAAGGAACAATAAAAGCTGTGAGAACTCTAAAGCAGTAGCTGAGAGTGGTGCTAATGCCTTCGATTTTTATCACATCTCTGTTAGCTGAGAGTCTGATCAAAAGGGAGGAATTGTTAAAAAGAAAAACATACAGGGGCGCCTGAGTGGCTCAGTCAGTTGAGTGTCCAACTCTTGATGTCGGCTCAGGTCATGATCCCATCGGACTCTGTGCTGACAGTCCAGAGCCTGGAGCCTGCTTCGGATTCTGTGTCTCCTCTCTCTGCCCCTCCCCCGCTCGCAGTCTGTCTCTCTCTCTCTCTAAAATGTTAATCATTATTGAAACTGGGTGACAGATACATTGTTTTCCCAAATATTATAGTTGCAACGTTCCACAATAAAAAGTTGATTTCTTCAAGCCACATGAAAGTTCTTGAAAATAATAAAAAAGATGGCCAAGGGCGGTATTCTCTTTGTAGCTAGAACATCTTTAACATTCTTGAATGGGAAAAGACAGAGATAAGGAAGAATTTTAGAATTTGTTAGAAAAAAGGGTATATAGCTAAATCAATATGCTAAAAATTTGAGAGTAACCATTGAAAGAGCAGAAATATAATCTATAGCTTCCAAATCATCACGGAAAAAATAATAATTATATAAAAACTTCATCCAACATGAAGCACAAGTGAAGAAAAATTGGTAAAGGATGGCAAATGGAAAATTGTACCTCTTTTGCTTTATTGAGGATATGAAGCAAAACAAAAGAAAACAAGACAGGAAGAATGTATAATACAAACACAAGATGATCACATGACCCAGCCCAGCCCACCCTTGGAAGGGAAGCTGCAACACGTTACAGATGTTTGTGTAAGAACCAGTTGAAAATTACAAATTGTTCATAAAGATCTAGGCTCTCATTTGCATAATTCTTTAAAACGTCTTTACATTCTTGATGAGTCAATATTTGACTATGTAGTTCTTTATTTTTAATCTGAAGTCTATCAGCACAAACCAGAGGGACACAAAGAGGTAAAGGAGAGCAAGCGACCGTTCATCCCCATAAGCAGTTTTAAGCACTGCTTAAAACAAACCAAAATGCAACATCGGCTTTGCCTGTTAGGGCGTCCAACCCCCATCACCCACCAGCAAGAAAGGAGAATTCAACAAATGAACAAAGGGAACACAAGGTCCTAGGATGGATCTCCTGGAGGCAACAAGGCTTTATTTAACAAAGGTCTGGGAGTGTAGGCATGTTGACATGGCATACTCTTTTACCAGGCCCCCTTTATGCCTGTCACATAATTTAACTCATCTAATTCACGTAACAATGTTAGGACGATTTTATAGATGTAAACATCAAAATACAGAGAAGCTATGTGATTTGCCCAAGGTCACACAGCCAATAAATGGCAGAGCCAGCACTCAAACCCCACGGTCTCCTCCTCTAGAAGCCCCAGTTTAACTCCCTGGAAAGGAGAGGAGGCAAGAAAGTGGGCACAGAAGATACTTGGGGTTCCTCTGAGAGCTCAGTGGCTCCTGGAACTCTGTTGGCTCTGTGCTGACCACTCTACAGCCGTCTTTCCAGTTTCCAGTGCCTAGCTTGGCCCCCACCATGCTTTCTAATCAATCTTTCTGGTGCTTTCTGAATAGAAACATCAAGGTGAGGATAAGAGAAGGATAAAGCATGTTGCCTGCTTCAAGGGCCTTTTTGTCCAGGCAAAGACAAGGCACTAAATAGTTTCCAGAGTCAGTTAACAAACTAGGTCCTGAGCCCAAGCAAGGAGACAGAAAGCAGGGGAATCAGGGCAGGGTGTGGAGGGTGAGGACTGGGTGAGGATAGCTAGCTTCACAGAGGTGCAGCCAGAGTCAGAGTTCAAGCCCTTGGAGGACTTGAACTCAAAGCCCCCAGCAGCCCTCAGTTCCACTTGGACTCCTCCTCACCGCTCAGTTTGTTTCTGGGTTACTGTGTCCGCTGCGAGGAGAAGCAGATGGCCTGGGATACAGGGAAGGCCCTCCCAAAGCCACCAAGCCTTCTGGAGTCTGGGGCCAGCTCTTTGCAATCTCTGTCCCCCAGGAAAGAGTTAAAATCCCAGGCTTTTTCAACACCATCCCCATCGCTTCAGTGCCCGCCAGCCTGGACTGACGGCTGCTACACCAAGCCAGGCTCTTTTTGCTCAAGAAGCCCCAGACCCTCAAGGGGCTGGAATATTCCCAAGAGCTCCCTTTTCCCCTTCTCCTGGCAGCCTTCCCCCAGGCCCTGGGTCAACCTGTCCCCACCCCCGAAAGGGCCCAGCCCACGGACCCAAACAATGGCCCAGCCACTTGGGGAAAAGAGCTCTGATTCCAGAGGGGACAGTTGGAAGACCTCTACCTTCATGATAGCTTTCATCGTGTAGCACTTGATACTTTCAAAAAGCCCTAACACAGCTCCCATTTCTTTGCTGGTCATCAGTGCTTCCCTTTTTAGGTAGGCTATAAACAGAAAGAATTATTCCCTTGGGTCATTTCTTCACAAAGAAAAAGATTCTGCAAAGGTACATGCCTTGCCTTACATCACACCTTCAGGTAATGATGGAGCCAGAACTCAGATGCCTGGTATCCTAACCACACTGGGTCATGCTGGCACATCCCTGTACACATGGGAAGCCAGTGCACAGTTGTCCCTGAGTGAAAATGAGGGTAGCTGCCAACACCCACCCACCCACCCCAGTGACAACAGACACGCATCTCTGCCCACGGAACAACAGAAGAGCCAGGCTGGGGCCACATGTCTGTATTGTGTACAGAAAGAGGAAATCCCTACATAAACATAAGAAGGAAGCAGGTCCCCAGTAGTTTATTAAATAGCTGAAAACAAAATAGGTATTCCATCCCCAAACTCCTTTTTATCCCACTGTCCCACGATAGTGGTTACAAGGGCGTGTGTTAGGGTCACACTATATTGGTGTGGCTACTTGTTAACTGTGAGCTTGGGTAAATGGCTTAACCATTTCCCTCTATTTTAGTTTCTGTATCTGTGAAATGTGGTAATACTACTTCTGGACTCACTGAGTAGCCAACACTGAATGAGATAACCCATATAATGCATCTAGCACAGTGTGTGGCACATAAAGACTGGTAGAGACGGGACGGGGACCCCCCCCCCTCACATCACGTAGCCCTCTTATGTGCAGGTGAAGCATTCTGGGAGCTCCAGAATGAAAGAGCCAGATCAAAGCCTTTTCTGACCACCTCTGGCTATGGACCCAGGGCCCAAGGCCACAACATCACAGGTCTGGCTGCTGTCACTAGGTCATGCCATCCAAAACAATTTCTGGACAAAAGCAGAAGAGGCCACTCCATCCTGCCTACCCTACCTCTACCCTATGTTGGAGGGGAAGGATGTCATAATGTTAACTTAGTGACCATGGGTCCTGGCTGAGCACGGACCCAAGCTGTCCACCCAGAACCTGGCTCTGGGGGCCCTCAGCCTGCTCCCCGCCCGGCACTGGGAAAAGTTACTCCACACACAGTGTTTGCCTCAGAAATGTGACCTCCAGCCATCTTTCAGGTCCTCTTAGCCTACCAGCACTGCCAGCATGCCTCCTGCTATGGCATCCCCATATTCCACGGTCCTCTTCTCTTATCTGCTTATTGACTCATTCCCATAAGTACCCCCAGGGACTAGTTGGCCAACTAAACTGTATGCTACTGAGCAAATCAAGAATTACAGCTTAGCCAAGTATGCTTCAAGACTAACTTCTGCAGCTCCGTGCATGTTGGGGGAGGATACCAGCAGCTGCAAAGGAACCATGCCCCCTGGCCAGGAAGAGACCTTGGGACACTGGGGCTGCCTTTAGACCAGCTGGCCCCAAACAGACTATGAGTCATGGCACCAGGTTCCTGGTTTGTTGTGGGTCTCTCACTCACAGGGAAGTGACTCCCCTTCTGAGCGTCACCTTGGAACTCTGGCCTGAAAGGTTCATTAACTTACAAAGTTCTGACTATCGAGCCTACCCTCTGATGGTTTTACCCCTAGGTCCACCCAATTATCCTTCCCCTGCCACCATTGCCATCATCATCACCACCACTGCCACCACCACCACCACTACGACTAACATCATCACCATTAGCACCACCGCCATCCCTATCACCGTCACCACCACCACCACCATCACCACCACAACTACCACCATCACCGTCATTACTGTCACCACCAGGCACCACCAATACCCCTACGACTACCACCAATTACCGCCAATACTATCATCACTATCACTACCACCCATCCCCAGTGGTAAACCCAGTTTGCAGGCTACACCCCAGCAGCAATGAAGGAAAGAGGCTGTTAGGCAGAACCAGCTCCCGGCCAAATTATAAAGTTTTTTTATCAGGGTCTCAATTCACTTGCTTCTCCGCCCTGTCTGCTTACACGCACAGACCCTTTCTTTCACGTCATCCTGTCCACTTTCTCAGTCTTTAGTCATTTACACTGTAGTGTAAATATAACACAGTGCATTGCCGCCCCCAAAGAATATTTGCATATAAAGCTTATGTGTTCGCTGTGGCACAAAAGACTTTGACTCCCTTCAAGGCCTGGAGGCATCAGAAAAGATATTTTTGATCAAGGGCTATATGCCTCGTCCAGCAAGACTCTGGAGTGAGGACTGCCTTGATGCCATATAATGAAAACTGGTTACAGCAACAAAAGGGAAAACTCAGAGATAGTCTTGTGATTCAGAGTCCAGAAACATGATACCAAAACGCCCTGTAGAACCCACAGGGCATCCCTGACACTGCAGAGGTGACCATAACTTAAGCCTCTCGGTTCCTCAGCTTTTGGTCTCCCAGACTCCACATGCTGGTTCCATGGCTCGCCTTATAACATCCTGCTTCGGCCTTTTGCTCAGAGCATATGGGAGTGCAGGAGGTGAACTTCTCCAGGAACAATGCCCTCTTCACTGAGGACCCTCCTCCAGGCTCGCTGTCAACTCATCCTCTAGAACCAGGGGATCTGGTTACAGAATGGGGGCCCCCACTGGAGAAGCAGCAGCCCTCTCCTTCATGTAGGGCATGTCCCTGCGCTAGGACACCGGCTCATCGCTGAAGATGACCATCTCCACCACAGCTGAGAGAACCTGGGGCAGCAGCCACAGCCCAGGAGTGAGACTCCCCGTTAAATGCATACGCCACAGGAGAGGGCTGAGTTAGCCCAGCCCACTACCCAAAGATGCTGAAGGTGTCTCCCCAACAAGCAGGGCGGGGGGGGCAACAGGACAGGTGCTGATAAGGGCCCCGTGCCCCCCCCCCCC